TCCAGTTTTGCTCACCACATTATAAAAATGATGTTGAGAAAAAGTACAGAGAAGAGCATCCAGGATGATTAGGGGACTGGAGGCTAAAACATACAATGAACAGTTGCAGGAACTGGGCTTGGCTCGTCTAGTAAAGAGAAGGTCCAGGGGAGATATGATAGCGGTTTTCCAATATTTGAAGGGCTGCCACAGAGAGGAGGCGGTCAAGCTATTTTCTAAAGCTCCTGTAGGCCAGACAAGGAATAATGGATGGAAACTGAACAAGGAGAGATTTAACCTATAAATAAGGAGAAACTTTCTGACAGTGAGAGCAATCAACCAATGGAACAGCTTGCCCTCGGAAGTTGTGGGAGCGCCATCAGTTGAGACTTTCAAGAAGAAATTGGACTGCCCTTTGTCAGAAATGGTGTAGGGTCTGCTGGGCAGGGGGTTGGAATAGATGACCTACAAGGTCCCTTCCAACTCTGATTATCTGTATCTGTATCTGTAAAGGGGTGACTTGGGAGTAAGGCTGGGAGGTGATTGCCCCTCCCATGAGATATAAAGGACAGGTGATGATGAAACCTTTGCAGGAAGCAAAGTTGTTCGGTTCAGATTCATTCTTGAAGCTCTTTGTACTTTGGTTGGTTTTTTGTCTACTTCATTTGATACTTCTGTTATTGGCAGCACTTCACAGAAAAGCAAGGTGGGTGTTTATCTCGAGGGACTGTTTGAGATTCATTACCAGCTGGGAATAAAAACAATTCCCAGTGTTGCAATAAATTAAGACTTGTTTTTAAAATAAGCATGTGCGTAATTACGGTCTAGGAAACCTTATCAGAACACCTAAGGCTTACATATACTTTTAGAACTTCACATATTACTTCTGGCTGTCATACTGTAACCAAACTGGGTATCTCAAATCAGTGTCTTCAACTTAATGTTTTGTACTTTCAACTCCCCAAATTCTTAGGTTTAGGAAGAAATTCTCTGGTTGAGGGGATATTACTGCAGGTTAGACATCAATAGAAAATGGGATTTTTTCAGGTCTCAGTGGTACCCATGTCCCTGAGACTTTTGCCTAAGAAAGTTTTGGATATCTAGACAAAACATTTGGAACATTTCCTGATCACGAACACTACATTTTATACTAAAGATTTTACCCCTATGCTGAAATTGTATGTCTAAATTATCTAAAACATTATTTACTGTTTTCAATATTAGAGTTCTTTTTTTAATTTTAGTTTCTCTTCTGGTTACTATAGCTTGTTGTGATTTTGCTTTACGTTAATTTGTTGTGGCATGTCTAATATTTTATATTGAGTGTCTTTAATTGGAAACTGTCTTGAGCAACAATTTTGAAAAAAAAGCAGGGTGCAAATACTAAAACATGTTCAATAAAAAGAAGAGCCACAATTTAAAGTACCTCAGAAAGCTGATGCCATGCCCTTGTTAGAGTCAGACTCTGAGGGAGAGAAGGAACAGCCAACAGGGAGTGAAGGTGTTGCTCCGGAAGTTGTGGAGGAAGCTGGGGAGGGGCAGAGGCTGGCTGGGCAGTCAGAGGAAGAACCAGGCCCATCCCCTCTTCATCCTAGGACATGCAGGGAGGAACAGAGAAGGAAATAACTTGGCTTATAAGAGAGGAAGCAGCCATGATCCCCCTCATTGGTTGTAGCTGGGGAGAATAGTATATAAGAGAGATGGTTAAAACACAGCATTGCCAGAAGGAAAACATGTGTTATTTTGGGCTGAAGTTATCTTGGTTGGTGCCCTTCCAACAGACTGTGCCTTGTTATCTCCTTGAAGTTGGTAATTACTTATCCTGGTCCATTGTGGAAATTCCTTCACTGTAGTTTGTTTTAGTTTTTTATTTCACCTCTTTCTGCTCATTAAGTTTGGACTGTATTGTTTTCTTTTGAAGACTATTTTTGAATAAGTTTTATCCAGGGGTGGGATTCTACCAGTTCGCACTTATTTGCTAGAACTGGTTGTTAACAGTTTAAGCAGTTTGGAGAACCGGCTGTTAGAAGAAATTACTGGCCTAATCCTGTAAGGAAGGCAGGAAGGAAACATTCTGGTGTTGCTTACAGAAACTGCCTCTCTGTTAACCCATATTACATTCTTGGCAGGACTAGTCTTCCTGTCTCAGGAACTTCTCTGGGGTTTTTTTCCCCTCCTTTGCTGGTACTTTGCTTGTGTGGAGTGACCTTTCAAAGTTACCATGGCATTGAAAAAAGTGACTTATGACCATTTTTCACACTTATGACTGTTGCAGCATCCCCACAGTCATGAGAGGCCAGGCGAGGAGATGCGTGCCTCGATGTGAGTGATATTGAGTTGGCCACACCCAGCCAATAACATGACCACCAAGCCATGTCCATCCAGTCACAGGACCACCAAGCCATGCCCACCACCTAAGCCACACCCACAGAACTGGTTGTTAAAAATTTGAATCCCACCCTTGGTTTTATCTCCAACTGAGAATTATTGAACAGTGGGGCCAAGTTGGAGGCATTAAAGGACATTTATTTATGTTTTGGATTTTGATACATTTGTGTTACACTCCGGGTCATCACCACTGCAGTAGTGTACCCACTGAAATGTACAGTTCTGAAAAAAAAAGGGTTACACATTCAAATAGGCCGCAAGCTATTGTCCATTGGTGGTCAGCTCTTTGAAGAGTCTGATTGGTGGTCAGCTCTTTGAAGAGTCCATTGCTGATCTGAGGAAAATCTGCCTTCATTTTTCCTCTGGGCAAGCTTCATTTTATTTTTAAAAACAAGATTTTACAAAGATTTAAAAACTAGAAATTTAGAGGACACTTTAAAAAAAAATCTTTTTCCTCTCTCGGTTTGAGCAATAAGAGCTCTTGATTAATTAATAATGACAAAATTGATTTATTAACTAGGTTTTCTTTAGTGAATTGGTTACATAAGGGGGGAAAGGAGTCTTGTTTTTTAAAACAATAACTATGCCTAGGAAAGGAAAAAAAAATATTCTTGTGTTTAGGGGATTATCTACTTCAAGGGTCTTCAAACTTGGCAAGTTTAAGACTTGTGGACTTCAACTCCCAGAATTCCTGAGTTAACATGACTGGAGGAGAAATTCTGGGAGTTGAAGTCCACAAGTTTTATAGCTGTCAGGTTTGAAGCCTCCTGATCTACTTCATATTGAGGTTTTCCCTTGGAAGAGGTGTCGTTCCTTATTTATCTGCCTCTTGAAGACACTGTAGTACAGTGGTTCTCAACCTGTGGTCCACAGTATGATCACAGGGTATCCATGAAAGCTTGAAGAAATGTTATTTTTTAAATCTTGAATTAAGTCTTGGGGATCCATGGCCACAAAAGGGAATTAAAGGGGGTCCATGGTGAAGAAAAGACTGAGAACCACAGCTGTAGGAGTAATTGAAGGAAATGCATCTGCTGAATGTATCAATTAATTAGAACACACTATTTTTGTTAGAAGTTTTGCTCTGTTACTCCCAACAATTTAGTAGATTAAATATGGAATCCTACCTGTCCTTAGTTTATGTGCAAAGCAATGTTGAATGGTTTAAAATTGTATCCATTTAATATGATCAGTAAAAATAATAATTTGGGTAATTCTTTCTACTTAGGAAGTCTCCTATCGTTATTTTATGTCATATCAAGGTTTACCTGCTGTCTTGCCAAATTCATCTCACCTAAGCCAGATCCAAGCATCATAAAGTTATATGGCACATGGATTTGGCATCATAAAGAGCCAGTTGAAAGCCATCAACTTCAAAGATTGTCAGAGCTTTTTCTATCACTGATTCTACCGCCTAGTCAATGGTTCCTCTGAAATTTTTCCAAGAAACAACTGGGTTTTCTCATTTTTCTTTGAAGGCATTTCGCTTCTGATTCAAGAAGCTTCTTCAGCTCTTGAATGAGAAGTGAAACGTCTTCAAAGAAAAATAAGAAAGCCCAGTTGCCTCTTGAAAAAGCATCTTTGGGACAACCATGACCTGGGTGACTGAGAAACTACCCTTCAAAAAGACCTTATCAGAATTGTCAATCAAATGGCAACTTCAAATCTCAAGAAATAAATGCTCTGTCTTACATATTGGCAGAAAAAATCAGAAAATAAAATACAAGCTAAATAGTCAAGACCTTATTGAGGATCCAAACTTTGTCAAAGGCCTTGGAGCACTCATCTCAAATGGCCTAAGTGCTAGAGCCCACTGTAAATACATAGCCAAAAAGGTGTTAAGAGTTGTTAATCTAATCCTACGAAGCTTCTGCTCTGGTAATATCACACTACTACTAGAGCATACAAAACATTTGCTAGACCTATACTTGAATACAGCTCATCAGTCTGGAACCCATATCATGTATTTGATATTAACACAATTGAAAAAGTCCAGAAATATTTCACAAGAAGAGTTCTCCGCTCCTCTACTCATTGCAGAATACCTTTTGCCACCAGACTTGAAACTCTAGACCTAAAAAACCTAGAACTATGCCGCCTCTGGTCCGATCTAAATATAGTATATAAAATCATACCTTGCAATGTCCTACCTGCAAATGAATACTTCAGCTTTAATCATAACAATACAAGAGCACACAATAGATAAAAACTCAAGGTTATCCGCACCAAACTTGACTGCAGAAAATATGACTTCAGCAACAGAGTGGTCAATGTTTGGAATACTCTACCTGACTGTAGTTTCTTCCCCAAACCCCACAAACTTTAACCTTAGACTGTCTACTATTGACCTCACCCCCTTCCTAAGAGGCCTGTAGATGGCGTGCATAAGCGCACCAATCGTGCCTACCGTCTCTGTTCTATTGTTTTTTTATTTTTCTTATAAGTATGTATCTCATGTATTCAAAACTATATTTATTCTTATACCTGTATCTTGTAAGCGATTGACAAATCAAATAAATACTAAAAATTACTAAATACTAGAATCTCCATAGATGGTTCCTCTGAAAGTTAATGCATTGTATTTCTGTACTAAAGTCACCTTCTTTCCTTCCCATCCTGTTATCTCCCTATAGATACATAGAGTATTGGAAGAATTTGCAGACTTTGCATGCCGTAGACATGGAGCTGTACACAGGACTCCAGAGATTGTGAGTATTGTGTATTATTTGATGTGTATCTTTGCCCCAGTTTGAGAGAACAAACAAAGCTTGACCAGGTCTGTTCTTCTACACTATCGGTAAAGTATGTTTCTGGTATGAATATTTTACATACTCAATGGGGTTAAGACCAGATATTCTTGTGACTCACTATGCACGGATGAACTTGGATTTAGAAGTGTTTCACTGAATCACAAAATGTATGCTCACCCATCTTTTGGGCTCCTTCTGCTATTTTCTGAAATAAAACAGCATCATGGGCTTCATGAAGAGAGTTGTGCTTTTGCTGAGATGGCACCTTCTCACATCAAATAAGCCAACATGAATAGGGGAGCAATCAAATTTTGTTTTGGGACTGTAGATCCATGACAGCTCTCCAAAGGTGAAGTCTACAGATTATTGGGCCCAACTGCAGCTGGGATTAGATGACTGAAGAATTTAGAATCTCAGTTCATTTTATGTAGCTGGTATTTCCGATAATTCGTTCTGTGGAGAGTTTGTAATTCTGGTTTAGACTTGGGTGCTTGGACAAAATTATTTGCTTCTTGCAGATCAACTTGCTTCACTGTTTTTTGTTGGACCATTGACTAGCTAACCTACCTTCAAATCATCAGCCCTGAAATTGCATATGGAACTTTATAAATCACTTTAAAACAGGGATCTCCAAACCTGGCAACTTTAAGATGTGTAGACTTCAACTCCCTGAATTCCTCAGCCAGCTTCTGGGAATTGAAATTCCACATGTCTTCAAATTGCCAAGGATGAGGACCCCTGCTATAAAACATAGTTGGGAATCCATGTCCATACTGCGTATGATGCTGAGACTCAACCTGTTAATCAATTTCAGGTTTATCAATTTCATGTTCCTCCTCTGAGAACTTCCATTCTAAATGTTTCTTGGGGATTTAAATTTGTTAAATGCTTTCTGTCAAGAAAGCAAATCCTATGGTAATTTAGCTGCATCTCCCCACAAGTCAACAAAAAAGCAATTTTGCTAAGTTATTCTGAAACTTACCTCTGAGAAGCAAATGTCCTCTGTGGGATTTACCCATGTGTGCATGGAAAGTGGCTTGCTCAGAATGTCTCTAAATTTAGTGCTGGAATTGTGATTGTGTCTCTGTGTTTCTGTTGGCGAAGGATTTTTAAAACAAAAGTCAAAGAAACAGATATACTGTAGACATTTTCCCTTACAGGAGGGGAAGATAAAATGTAGATAAGTGATATTCTTACAAAGCATATTCATTGGGTTAGGAACAATCAAAAATCACATTTACATCTTATGAGACATTCTGTCAGAAAAGTTCTATTTGAAAATGGCAACATAGGAGAATAAATTTGTTTGGTAAAGTATGAGACCTTTAAAAAGGTGAGAGCATGCAAGCCAAAATTTAAACTTTCAGCTGGATGTTGTTTTTTATAAGAGCTGTGGTGGCACAGTGGTTAGAATGCAGTATTGCAGGCTACTTCTGCTGACTACCGGCTGCCAGTAGTTTGGCAGTTCGGGTCTCACCAGCTCAAGGTTGACTCAGCCTTCCATCCTTCCGAGGTGGGTAAAATGAGGACCCAGTATTGTTGGGGGCAATAGGCTGACTTTGTAAACTACTTAGAGAGGGCTGTAAAGCACTGTGAAGTGGAACAGAAGTCTAAATGCTATTGCTAATGCTATTTTACTTTCTGATAACAGTGTTGATTTTACCATATTTGTGACTCTCTTTTTGATTGTTGTTGCTGTGATTACTTTTCCATTTTTTGTGGCCTAGTTAAAGAATTATAAAGAGGTGGGAAATACAGAGTTCACTGTTCGTTGCAAGTATTTTATTATATATTAGTATTATTAATTGAAAATAGAAATCCAGTTGATAAATAAAACAACAACATTTAAATAAGTATGTACTATTTGTTTAAATAAAAGGGGGTATATATTTTATTTTATATTTTATTTATAGGATTTTAGGCTTTTGGAATGTATAGCATAGGTATATATATGTACAGTATATATACAATGTGTGCATGTCTGTATCTCTAAAGAAATAATGTATGCATTTTCAATGCTAAATCAATTTATAAGTTACTATGAGCTATAAGAAAATGATGGAGAGATGGAAAGTAGTACTTTGATGCTGGGCATGGATTGCTATTCATTTTCCATCAAGATGTTTGGTCACTGCTTGCAATTTTTGGTTGCTTGGGAACCAGCTATTGCTCAATGACAGAATGCTCTCTTGGCCTACAGAAGTCCTGCTAGAGACGTGGAAGTCAGGCAAAAAAACAAAAAACAAAAGAACAGTCTGAAACATTGATTTGATTTAGATCTATAATCTGATTCAGACCTCACATTGATTCAGAAAACTGATTGGCTTTGGACTCCAATTTGACTCATCCCTTTGAATCAATCTGATTCCAAACTGATTAAAGAACAAGATATTAAATTGTTTAAATGGATGTAGAGGTCTTTGGTTTGATTTGACAGTTTACCTCAAGCTGCTGAATGTAGCTTAGAAATCTGATTTAATTCATAATATGGGCTAAAAATTGCGGTCATAACATCCACTTAGAACAATCGGAACAAATATGGCAAACTAACTATAAATTAATGTTATCAGTATCATATAAAGAAAATATCTATAAAATGTTCTATCACTGGCACCTTCCACTGGCAAGATTGGCAAAAATGTTTCCCAATATGTCACCCAAATGCTGGAAGTGCAATTATAGCCAGGGAACATATTTTCACATGTGGTGGACATGCCCCAAAGCTCGCAAATACTGGTCTAAAATACAGGGCTGGAAGAGATGACAAAATTAAAGATTAAACTCAACCCAGAGACCTTCTTATTGGGAATACCAGAACTGTCATGGAGCAAAAAAACAATAGCATACTACACATCATCACAGCAGCAAGAATAGCCTTTGCCCCAAATTGGAAATTAGCAATGGTACCCACAGATTTAGCAGTAATCAACAAAATTTATCAATGCACAGAAACGATTAGATTAACTATGATATTAAAAAACAAGGAGGAGGGAGAATTCTTTACAACATGGAATACATGGTACAAATGGTTAAATGAAAAGGAAATAAGGATGTATAGTGAAAATGATTAAAGAAATATTATGGAACAAGAGAAGTAAGGATAAATGTATAGCTATGAATATATGTATAGTATAGCTATGAGTATAGGTGTAGTAGTGTAGTAACATAGGAAAACAAACAATGTATCATGACATATTAATAACATAGATAAGTAAGAAATCAGGAATTGGATTTAAGATATCTTTGTAGTAAATGATCTTAGTAACACTAATAGAGATATACACTGTTATGAAAACACTGTAAAATGTGAGAAAATGATTCTCTTTTTAAAATATTTTTTTCTTGAATAAACACTATAACAAAAAGAAATCTGATTTAACTCAGAGAATTGACGTAGTTTCCATTTTCCCACCCATTCGTTTTCTGGTTTATTTCTTAGTAGCGGCTAGTTTGCTATCTAGTACAGACTAGAGATAGTCACTTTACGGAATAATCACTGTTCTAGAAACTTCCAGGATCCATACAAAGCAGGGCAAATGGCAAGGGATGCTGGGAGTTGTAGCTGAGCAACATCTGAGGTATCCCATGTTACCAACTCAAGTTGTACAGCACTCTGGGGGCTAATGAAGTGATGATCTGACTTTGATATATGCTTCATTTGTTTGAGACTAAAGCTGTCAAAAAGCATTGAACTAATAATGCCTTAGGCAGGTGAAATGCTTCATTTTGCCTTGCAAATCCTTAAAATAGCTATACAAAGTTGGCTGGTATTCTCCTCATATTTGGACTTGTGGAAATGATACACACTGAGGCTAAATTAATCATGGGGCAGCCTGCTGCTGCATCTTATCTTCCGAGGGGATTCCTTTTCCTCTCTCTGTCTCTCTGCTGAGAAAGGGAGGGAGAGGGAGAGAGAGAAGATAGATAGATAGATAGATAGATAGATAGATAGATAGATAGATAGATAGAT